TACAAACTTTCGGGTTAGCTTGGATTAACATATTCGTGTACAAGTTGTGTGAAGTCGCACAACTGCATTGAATAGCCGATTAAATTAGCTACTACTACTACTACTACTACTACTACTACTACTACTACGACGGCTGCTGCTGCTACTTTTGCTGCTGCTGCTGCTGCTTCTTCTTCTTCTGCTCCTCCTCCTCCTGCTGCTGTTGCTGCTGCTACATACTGCTACCGCTACTGTTATGACCGCTTCTGCCGCTTCTGCAACTGAATGCAAAGCAGCACAGCATACTTACTGCGCCCTCCAAGATGAGCATCTCCAAGCTCGGCTCAACATGTTTAAGGGAGAGTGCCCAACGTGACTTGCAACTGCAGAGACCTCGTCCTTCCGAGCTCTTCCAGAAATGGCCGCAGGATACATTTCTCAGACATCGAACTCTGGAAAACAACTTGGCAATAACATCGTGGCCTGGCTGCCCCCCAAATAAAAAAGATAGTGCCGAACGGCCAGGAGACCTGCTGTAGCCGAAAGAAACGAGCTCCACACAGACCTTCGTTGGGTGTGCGATCTCCTCCTCGGCGTGGTGCGGCAGGATCACATCCTCCACGTGAGGTCAAAGCCCCTCAGCCCCAAACACGTTGCCTTTTAGACTTGCGAGGACCAGCCAGCTGACATCTCGGTCATGCCCCCATGCATTTCATCAGTGCAAAACTCAGCCGTAAACCTCCAGGTCCGCAGTATGGCAACAAGGTGCTGCACATTCACGTGGCTAAAAAATCGTGCTAGAGACGCCAGTGTTTGCATGCAAGACTGTCTGAAGCCAAAGACAGCCACCTGCAAACCGCTAGCTCTCATGGATCAATCACACATGGAAGTTTTGCACAAAAAAACAACAGCGCCTGCAGATCTTCGCCAGAGGCCGTCCGCAGTGGCCCCTCGTCACAATGTTCCCGTGTCCGCGAAGGCTCACGGTTGTCAAGCTCCTCCTGCTCGGAGGCGACCTCGAAGGCTTAGACTCAGCTCTGCTGAGTGGGGTTCCGGCTTTGGCAGAATGAGACGGCATTTCAAATGAACCAACGCCCGTACAACAAGATTCTTTAAGATGGGTCCGACGCTCACAGCGAACGTTGCACAGCGAACGTCAATTAGTCGTGTAAGTGCCAGAGGGTGATCGTCTATGCTCATTGACAAACTCCGTTACCGCACGAAGCATTGGGCCCAGGGCATTTTTCGGCACTACATCATTACGTAGCCAGTTATGCAACTATCACATCAGAGCAGCATGTCGTAACGAAACAACCAAAAGCACGTCTTGGCCTGGAAAATCTCGTCCTTGTTCGTTGCCGCTACCTTGGCCACAGCCTGGGCCGCAGCCTTTGGAGCCGCAGCTGTCGCCGGAGCACCAGCAGAAGGTCGCAGCACTCGCTCGAACTGCACCTTCCTGGCCAGGGGTATGAGTCGCCAGAAGATCAGAAGGGGCCTGGAGCAGTTTCCAAGGTTGGGAGCACACGGAAGACAGGAGTTCCCGACTGGACACAGCAATTGCAAACCTCTATCACGTACTGCATCTCATGCAGCGTTCTTGCAGCTCAGGCTCATCTTCGGATCCGGGATGGGGAACAAGACGTGATCAAACCTGAAAGGAGGCATCAGGACCTTTACGGCCATCACAAATACCATTCGCTTTGCACTGTGGGTGTATCCATCCGTGCGTCGCATCTCTTCCGCAGTGTCACTGCTTCAGGAGCGTGGCCCTTTGCGCCATTTACTCGCCCTCGACATCCGAGCAAAAGAAACCCTGAAGTTTGAAAGCCTCTCTCCTAGCGGAGGCTTGGGCCCCGACGCTCCGCGCAGCTCTGGCAGGTCCAGAGCCTGAGTTCACTGGCTTAGGAGCTCAGCTTCAGCTGCCAGCAGCTGCCACAGAATGCCCAGCATACTGCATCATATACTGTGTGCGTACTTAGATTTTAGGATATATAACTGCTTACCTTAGCAAGACAAACCGTCATAAAGCCCTATGCAAATTATCATATACACAACCCCCCAACAATTAAAGGACCAGATTGCCAACCCTTTCACTAAAATACGCACGTGGGGTTATAACCCCACGTGCGTATTTTAGTCAAAGGGTTGGCAGCAATTCCAGAAACAGAGGGAGTGAGAGCAAGTGAGCGAAAGGTAAGCGAGAAGAGCGAATAGTGCTGCGCCTGCTAGGACTCCCGAAGCGTGCTCGAGGTTGGAGGAGGCACCATAAGTGCTGTGCCTGCTAGGAATCCCGAAGCACCCTCGAGGCGTAGAGGATGGAGGGAGCCACCAAGTTAGGAATCCCTAAGCGCGCTCGGGGATGGAGGGAGCCACCAAGTCACCGGAACTTGGAAAAGGCTTCGTGCTGGCCTTCCACCTTATCCAATCTGTTCCCCATGAATTTAAATTCTTCTCTCTGCTCCTGCGCAGTATTCAGTATCTCCCGCTGGTCAAGTCTCATCACTGTCCTTGAAACCTGACAGCCAAGCAGGTGCATCCCCGATATGATGGTGAACTGGTGTGTTCCCTCCTCTCCCTCGTGCGTTGGTACAAGGGCAGCAGTGGCAGCAGTAGGAGGCTTAAAAGGAGGCAAAGGCGGTGCCGCTGAGGCACTGCCAATCCCGAAGCGCGCTCGGGCTGGAGGTTGGAGGGGGGATGGGGGACGCGAGCGGACGCGGGCGGGCGGACGCCAATCAGAAAAGTAAGAACCCCACACAAACATTTGGGGAAAAGCATACACACTAAGTTCAGAAACACGAGCCCAGCAGCAGAGTGGAATGCTCTGGCGACCTCCTGCCGAGATCTTGGTCGTTCAAGATCAGCTCGACGGCTTGTAGGTGGCCGAGAGTACCAGGAGATTGTGGAAGAAGGCTCTAGGGTTTCACAGAGGTTTGATTTCACCCAACGAAATTTGCAGGGGCTTTACAAGGAATGCTTCCTTGCGTCTAGGGTGGGACATGTCTCTGCAAAGATCATGCCACGATTGTAGTGGCTGAAGTGGAGAGATGCTTGGGTTCTGCATTTGGGGTTGGGTCGGTGTTTGGGACATGCCTCACCATGAATTCTGAGCTCGTCCTCCTGAACCCTAGACTGAACTCTTTCCCTGAGCAGGACATAAGAAGTTAGCATCGGGTTTCTCTCCTCTTTCCCAAACCGCACGAGCCTGACAGAACCTGGATTCGCAAAGTGTGGCAGGAGCCTTACCCGAGAAGCCCCCGCACTCTACGCCGTCCTGCGGGTCGTTTTTGAAGACACCACATCCCCAGGCACCGAGAATCAGTGTCCTGACTTTCGCATCCAAATTGGGAACTTTCAACCTGACAGCCATCATAGCCGGCTGTCTGCACAATCACACTGGTACTCAACACCACAACCCATTGAGACATCGCTGCAACAAGAAAACTTGAAAGATGGGCATCTGGTCATATCTTTTGTGCCACCGGGTACCCAACCATGCCTGACAACCTCTACCTTTCAGACTAGCATTGAGGCCGAGCTCCGAAGATCATTGGCTTTGGCGATGCGTAGAACTCGCACCACCCGGGCCTCTTCACTGCGCACTCTCGTCTGGAGGTCTCCTAGCTCCTAGCTGGGCCTAGCGGAATCCTTTCAGGCCGATTTGGGCCCTTTTGGTCTGACCCTTTGGGATCTCGGATGTTCCTGGTCCGTTCCTTGCGACAGCTACAACAGGTCACAGTCTAGGTTCACGACTACATGTTCTGTAGCAGAGGACCTACAGTAGCTTCTTCTGGCGTTTCGCTCTCAAGGTGAGGTGTCATGCCTGGGCACAGAAAGCAGGCCTTCAGCACAGAGACGACTTCCTTGACCTGCCAGCAAACTGCACACGATCGAGAACTACACGGGCGAATCACTTTGGGGCCGCGATGGCTGCCCTCTGAATGTATCACATCGGCCGATCCTCAAGAACCTGCCTGAGCAGGGTAATGAGCCGTTGTGTTCCCGCCCTGTAACCCCAAGCATCTAAGCCCTCGCAAGTTCCATTCCATCGTACTGGGGCGGGGGGTTCATGATATGCTTACCAAGCTGTTCAGATAAATGAAAGAACCCTGCAACTCCAACAAGTCAACCTCCGAAAGAAGTTCGCTCAGTTCGAAGTCTGGAAAATCTCCACAGCACTTTTTTGAGCAGGGACTGCAATGGAACTCTGAATCCTGGCCCCCAAGAACGATGATCAAAAGCAAGCTGCTGCAGGTCCCTTCGCAGCCCCCGCATTAGGAGCCGCAGCGGTGAGCACAGAGCAGCAAACTGGCTTGTCCTGGCCAAGCTAGGGCACCGAACCAACCACCCTGTGTCACCGAACCACACGAGTTTGCAGAAGCCACAAGGCGTTCATGAAACAGCAATGCCAAGGCTTAAGTGCTCAACGGCGTAAACCAGACCTTCAACAGATAGGTGGTGCTTCCAAGTTCTGCCTGCAAATCTTGATGCTGCGGCACTGTAGTTTCAGAGGGAGTTCGTTTGGATCCCTTCTTGCACAAGCCAGCGCCGCAAGAAAGGCGCCTGCATCCGTGCGAAAGAAGGGCCTCCGGGAAGTTTGACGCATGGAGAGATCTGGAGAGGACCCAAACACCCGCTGTCTCTCTCTCTCTCTCTCCCTCCTGGGCTTGAGGGCCTTGACACCCGAACTTTGTCGGGACAAGGGGAGTGAAATGCGAACGTAGCTCATCAAGCGACTAGAGCCATGAAGTATGCGATACCGGAAGTATGATGAGCGTACATTCTCCTCGCCAAAGAAGACTGAGTTAAGAAAACATGCCACCCAGAAAATACACTGACGTATCAATGAACGAATACTTCAGCATGTTTTCTTCCCGAAGTCAACGGGACCTTCACGGGGCCACTTAGTCTGTGGGAGAGTGTCCCCCATATTCGAACATGTCGATTGTAGTGCATCAACACAGAAACTCGAAAAACTAAGGCCCCAACCACTTCTAAGTGAAGACATCTCACACTGATCGACATCGATTTGCGACCGAAATTGTTTGTGTGTGGTGATTTCGGGCTTTCCCCTGTGGTGTGCACTCAAAGTAAAGCAATGACAGCACCAGACAGCCCTAGAAAGGATTGTGCAAGATAGCCCCCCTGCACCCCCTCCAGGGTGATAAGCCCTGTGCAAGTTCGTTTGCCAACAACACGACCTCTTGCAGACGACTAACTTGTTTCCCCCGGTGGGGTGCACCTGAGGTAAAACAAGGACACAGCAGTAGATACGGTAGGACCCTATAGTGGGTAACCTGTTCGGAAAACTTGCGCACTCCCCCTGGGATCCCAGTCTCCGCGCGAAATTGTCTTTGTATGATCTCTGGTCTTTGCATACGGAAACAAGCACAATCATAACTAAGAGCCGTAGAGGACTACCATGTGTAGCTTATTCGTTTTGGCCAAAGGATCTAGGAGCTGCGGCAAGAAACAAGGCTCAAGAGTTGCTTCTCGGGGCATCGTGAGGAAGGGTGGACCTCCCTCCCTCCCTCTGTCTCTCTCTCTCTCTCTCTCTCTCTCTCTCTCTCTCGGGCGTAGGGGCCTGTCAAAGTCCCCGGGCTCCCTCCCTCCCTCTCTCTCTCTCTCTTTCTCTCTCACTCTCTTGCTTGCTTGCTTGCTTGCTTGCTTGCTTGCTTGCTTGCTTGCTTGCTTGCTTGCTTGCTTGCTTGCTTGCTTGCTTGCTTGCTTGGGGTATGGGGAGCAAAACCCCCTGGCCCGAAGGCCTACCCCCTCGGTCTGCGTCGGTGAGTCTGCGAGGCCCTTTCAGGGATGAACGCGAACTTTTTCCCCCCAATTTGCCTGTATACCCCGACCCGAAAGAGCTTTCTCTCTCTCTCTCTCTCTTGCTTGCTCGCTTGCAGGCATTGTCGGAGCACACTGCCTGCCTACCCCGGCAGCTGCTGTTTCTCCTCCTTCTTCAGGTCTGTCTTTTTGGCCGTCTTCCTTCCTGCTTTCCTTGTCATCTCGACCGCCGCCGATGTCGTGCTTATCCCCTCCGTTCCTGTTTGGAAAGCCCGTCGAGGCAGAGCCTGCCCGGCCTGGTGTTCCTAATTCCCAACTCCTAGTCTTGAGCTGAGGTGCACACACGGGGAGAAAATCATGTCATCTGAGTACAGGCAGCCGTTCGGGTCCGCGCGGTTCCGGGCATACCTCAGTCTGATTTTGAGTGGAAGAGACCCATTCTTGAAACCCCAACAAGAAGACGGATAGGCCCCGAGTCTCAAGGGATCCATGCAGCAGAAAGCCTGAAAGCAACACTTCCACTCACGACAGGCCGAATCCTCTGTCGAGCTGCAGGCTGTCCTGAGGCTTCGCATTCAAATAGAATCAATTCAGCAGCACCGCCTACCAAAGCCAAAAAAGGTGCATAGTCGTAGTGGCGAAGGGCACTGTGACCCAAACAAAGTTCAATTTCTACAATACATGTTCCCAGTCATGCGGGAAAGTTCATGGCTTGGAGAGCCGGTTGAACAAGCTGCAAAGCGGAGTGTTAGAAGGAGAGTCGGTGGTGAGAAGAGTACCGCGTTCTCGGATTTCCGCTGGGCGCTGAGAAAAGATGGCTTTCAAGTGGTCATTTGCGTGTAGATTCTCAGTTCCACGCATAAAGTCCAGCTGGTCAGCATGAAGACAATTCAGCCACCCCCGGGTCTGATGTGCAAACCGTGTAAAGCAATTCACGATTCAAAAGAACCCATCAGGCAAAAACTTACGTACAGTTTAGAACCTGTACGAAAACAGGTCAACATCCCTTCCGGAAAAAAAGCATGCAGCATGCATATTATCTCCAAATCGTTTTTAATCTGCAGCGAAATACCTCACTGCACGAATGGGGCGTACGCACGAGCACTCCAGGTCGCCTCGTCTAAGAGCCCAAGCTGCAACATTCACAAAATAAGCGAGAACATAGATTGAAACCTTTGACACAGATGGCCCGCTCTTACTCCACTAGGCAAGGAAATAGAGGTACGAGCGATGACAGTGTCAGAGCCTGAAAGGACGTAAGTTAGTAAACAATGCGGATTTGCACAAGTCGCACAAGACATGATTATGGGGATCGGTGTTACAATACACTACGACTTGCCATGATTACAAAATGCTCGCCTTTCGCCGACTAAAGCACATCCTTCGTGAAGTCTGGCCTCGACAATGGCACAAGATGATGTAAGCTATATATGTCCAGAAAACCAAGTAGGTCGGAAACGAACATAAATGCGTCGGAGAAAAAACGGTGTTACCTATAAGTTTTCAAGCTTCTTGGGTGGCTTGGCTTAGCTCTTACGTGGCTCTGATGCGAACTTGGGGAGGAGTGGCTGGGACGAAACCTAGGCTGGGCAACGAGCGGAGTTTCACGCAAGTGCTCGAAGGGGTACGAAACCCGCCGCGATGTGCGAGCGCACCACATTCACATGCCGATGCCCGGAACAAATCGTACCCCTGCGACGTATGATCTCACAACGTACACACGCCGATCTAACGCTCGCAAAACATTGTTAGCGTTCCTACGCCGACGCCCTTAACAAATTTAATTGCCCCCGAGTCGAGGAAGCGCGACAGGCAGAGGAGGAGCCAAAACAGGAAGAGGAAGCACGAAACACGGAGGAGGCACAACAGGAAGAGGAAGCACGAAAGGCGGCGGAGGCACAAAGGCGAGAGGAAGCACAACAGCAACAGGGATCCAGGCAATTGTGGGCACACTGGTCCACCAGCCCGACTCGTTGCCCCTCGCATCCAGGAACATCATCGCCTCTGGGGCGGGTTCCTGTCTGTCCGCCGAGAACACAAGTTGCTGGCCTTTAAACCAGACCCTTCCCTTCCAATCCATATCCACCTCGGAGGGTGGAAGGTGTTGCAGGCCGTAGTCGCGCAGCCCCAGGATGGCGCGGTTTCTACTACGTTCTTCGATACTCCTGTTCCTCGACACCCATAGGTTCCCTACCTGCCCACGAATGTTGGATTTCTTCCCTCTGGCTTCAAATGACTTGTCGAAGTTTGACAATGACAGCCTGTTGTACTTTCCTCCGGGCTGCGGAGGATTCGTCGAGGTTCCCGATAAACATCCCGAACTTCCTGCTGTATGTCTTCACGTTTGGCATCGTTATATCCTCCTAATACAAGTTGCCAATCATCAACCACTTGACCGCCGATGGCTGAGGAAGCAACCCCTGTGCTGGGGGCTCCGCCTTTTCCTCCGGCACGTTCAGCACGCCTAGATGTAGGGGCCGGGCTGACGGAGCGGCTCCGGACCTCGCGCAGTTCCGTCGTGGGGTCTTCAATCTTCTTGCTCACTTCCTGTTGGAACTTGGAAAAGGCTTCGTGCTGGCCTTCCACCTTATCCAATCTGTTCCCCATGGATTTAAATTCTTCTCTCTGCTCCTGCACAATATTCAATATCTCCCGCTGGTCAGGTCTCATCCCTCGCATGTCTGAGAGGAGACTGTCCTTGAAACCTGACAGCCAAGCAGGTGCATCCCCGATATGATGGTGAACTGGTGTGTTCCCTCCCCCTTCCTCGTGGGTTGGTACAAGGGCAGCAGTAGGAGGCTGAAAAGGAAGCATAGGCGGTGCCGCTGAGGCACTGCCAAACATGGGAGCTGACTGTAGTCCTCCTGACTTGTTGTGTCGGCGGCGCTTGTCGGGGCTGACGGGGGTGTCTGGCTGGAGTTGTTTAACTCGGTGGGAGTCGACATCCATTTCTCCAGTCGCACCCAAAGCAGCCTGGAGGGCCGCCGTTGCTGCTTCGCGGTCTGCTTTATTATTCTCTGACAGCTTTCGCAGCAGGAACCAGCTTAGCGGGGGCAACGTGAATTGGTAAAGCACTCGTAGCCAACATCTCGCTCGCTCTCTGGCGCGCACTCTCGCTCTCGTAGCAGGCACAGCAGCAGAAGGTAAGGAGGGGGCAGCAAGGGGAGGCGTGTTTCTACCAGTCCCACCTTGGAACGGGTCGTCCGCTATCATCCGTCAGATCATCATCATCATCATCATCCAGACGGTCGTCAACCTCCGCCGGGCCGTTATCTGGACCTGCCATGGCCCCCGGGCCACGTCCAACAAGGTTCATCAGAAGATAGGACAGGAGTAGACCTCTCGAGCCCAGGTCTGGAGCCCTTCCCAATCAAATGCATGCATGCCCCCCTCTCAGCGTCGTTGGACGAGCAGGGGGCTCTTGCCCCGAGGTGGCTGCTGTGAGCAACTTACCGTCGGCCTGCACTCCCGCGCTGTGTTCGCATGCATGCATGCATGGATACATGCATGCATACTTACATACATTTGCTCGTGTAGATAGAGAGAGACAGCGACAGGGAAAGGGAACGCAAACGAGAAAGAGAACGAGAAACAAAGAGAGACAAAGACGGTAGGAGTGTTTTTTTTGCTGTTGCTGCTGTTTTGCCGTTGCTGCGGGGCAACTGATAGCCACGAATCATCAGGCACAGGGTGTGTGTGTTTTTTTGTTGTTGCTGCGGGGGTGTTTTTTTATTGCTGCGGGGGAGTGTTTTTTGCGCTGTTGCTGCCGGATGGGGGGTGTTTTTGTTTGCTGTTGCTGCGG